TGATGGAGGTAGTTGGCAGGGGCTGTGGATGGTGAGCAGCACTCCTAGCATGCTGTGCCTCTATTATTAATCATCATTAGACAGGCAAATCTGACAAATAATGAGGGTGACAGCACAGCAAAGCCATTTAAAATCCCATTTTATTTTTACCCAGTCCACAAAACCCATTTTTGAAGCAGTATTTAGCTGTCAGTTGTGAGTGTGGCGCCATAGACTCGCTAATAAACAGGGAGAAAGTGGAGAGAGTGACTTGCAGACGACGCGCACGTTAAAGTGATTACACATGGGCGGGCTGATAAGCGACTTCACCGTCCGCCCCCGGAGTATTATGCCTTCACCGGGAATGGAAGCTTGAAGAGTTTGGAAGCTTGAGGAGTTTCCGACAACGCACTCACCATAATTTTTAACAGCCATTTCCATTGATACTTTCCCCACATGTCCCTAAGATTTATATTATTGTTGCACGTCTCCCAGGATCCTCTCTGCTCCTGCTGCTGCCAGGGGAGTATCTGCCTATCAGCGCTCTCCTCTCTATGCCTCTAACATAAATAAATAAAACATTAATGAGGACTCACTTTCTCTCTCATCCCCCCCCCCCCCCCCCCCCCCCCCATCTTTCCTCCTTCTCGCCCCCTCCCCATTCTCTATCACACTCCCTTCTTCTCTTTCACTCCCTACCTCCGTTTTTCCCCTCCTGCCTGCCCTCTCCCTCGTATTAAACAGTCCAACATCTTCCCACGCAGGCAGGCAGTAGAAGCTGCAGGTCACCCGTCTGTCACCAGGTTATCATCAGGAGAGAGAAAAGAGCTGACTATACTCTCACGCCTGCAGTAGGCTATTGATGATAACAGCAATACTATTCTCAATAGCCTGTCCATCAAAAATCTAATGTAATCTCTATGTAGTCTTTGACAGATATGGTAAAACAGTGGGTTCACTAAAGAGCCAGGTTAGGACGTCACTACACCATATACAGTGGGGAGAACAAGTATTTGATACACTGCCGATTTTGCAGGTTTTCCTACTTACAAAGCATGTAGAGGTCTGTAATTTTTATCATAGGTACACTTCAACTGTGAGAGACGGAATCTAAAACAAAAATCCAGAAAATCACATTGTATGATTTTTAAGTAATTCATTTGCATTTTATTGCATGACATAAGTATTTGATACATCAGAAAAGCAGAACTTAATATTTGGTACAGAAACCTTTGTTTGCAATTGCAGAGATCATACGTTTCCTGTAGGTCTTGACCAGGTTTGCACCCACTGCAGCAGGGATTTTGGCCCACTCCTCCATACAGACCTTCTCCAGATCCTTCAGGTTTCGGAGCTGTCACTGGGCAATACGGACTTTCAGCTCCCTCCAAAGATTTACTATTGGGTTCAGGTCTGGAGACTGGCTAGGCCACTCCAGGACCTTGAGATGCTTTTTACGGAGCCACTCCTTAGTTGCCCTGGCTGTGTGTTTCGGGTCGTTGTCATGCTGGAAGACCCAGCCACGACCCATCTTCAATGCTCTTACTGAGGGAAGGAGGTTGTTGGCCAAGATCTCGCGATACATGGCCCCATCCATCCTCCCCTCAATACGGTGCAGTCGTCCTGTCCCCTTTGCAGAAAAGCATCCCCAAAGAATGATCTTTCCACCTCCATGCTTCACGGTTGGGATGGTGTTCTTGGGGTTGTACTCATCCTTCTTCTTCCTCCAAACACGGCGAGTGGAGTTTAGACCAAAAAGCTATATTTTTGTCTCATCAGACCACATGACCTTCTCCCATTCCTCCTATGGATCATCCAGATGGTCATTGGCAAACTTCAGACGGGCCTGGACATGCGCTGGCTTAAGCAGGGGGACCTTGCGTGCGCTGCAGGATTTTAATCCATGACGGCATAGTGTTTTACTAATGGTTTTCTTTGAGACTGTGGTCCCAGCTCTCTTCAGGTCATTGACCAGGTCCTGCCGTGTAGTTCTGGGCTGATCCCTCACCTTCTTCATGATCATTGATGCCCCACGAGGTGAGATCTTGGCATGGAGCCCCATACCGAGGGTGATTGACCGTCATCTTGAACTTCTTCCATTTTCTAATAATTGCGCCAACAGTTGTTGCCTACTCACCAAGCTGCTTGCCTATTGTCCTGTAGCCCATCCCAGCCTTGTGCAGGTCTACAATTTTATCCCTGATGTCCTTACACAGCTCTCTGGTCTTGGCCATTGTGGAGAGGTTGGAGTCTGTTTGATTGAGTGTGTGGACAGGTGTCTTTTATACAGGTAACGAGTTCAAACAGGTGCAGTTAATACAGGTAATGAGTGGAGAACAGGAGGGCTTCTTAAAGAAAAACTAACAGGTCTGTGAGAGCCGGAATTCTTACTGGTTGGTAGGTGATCAAATACTTATGTCATGCAATAAAATGCAAATGAATTACCTAAAAATCATACAATGTGATTTTCTGGATTTTTGTTTTAGATTCCGTCTCTCACAGTTGAAGTGTACCTATGATAAAAATTACAGACCTCTACATGCTTTGTAAGTAGGAAAACCTGCAAAATCGGCAGTGTATCAAATACTTGTTCTCCCCACTGTACATGTGGTGAACGGATAGTGAGTACGTAGGTCTTCATCCCATTTTGAAGGGGTGCCAAGTCTCTCTGCCTACTCCTCCCACGTCTATGACGGACCGGGCCCTAAAAGGTGCCCCTGGGCAATCAATGTGGCCAGTTATATTGACCAGGAGAGATCATCACTCAAAGGTCACAAAGTTAATCATCTCAATAGTCAGCAAGTAACCTGTCAGCTATGAACTTGCTGATACTGCAGTCCTTGCTACTGTCAGGCTCAACATTGCAGAGAAGACTGCCATCTTGTGGATGAATCAGGGCTCTGGCTCTTTATCACTGACAGTGATGTGAAATGGGGTTTAATTACAATACCAGTCAAAAGTTTGGACACACCTACTCATTCAAGGGTTTTTCTTTATTTTTACAATTGTTTATATTGTAGAATAATAGTGAAGCCATCAAAACTATGAAATAACACATATGGAATCATGTTGTCACCCAAAAAGTGTAAAACAAATCAAAATATGTTTTATATTTGAGATTCTTCAAATAGCCACCCTTTGCCTTGATGACAGCTTTGCACACTCTTGGCATTCTCTCAACCAGCTTCATGAGGTAGTCACCTGGAATTCATTTCAATTAACAGGTGTGCCTTCTTAAAAGTTAATTTGTGGAATTTCTTTCCTTCTTAATGCGTTTGAGCCAATCAGTTGTGTTGTGACAAGGTAGGGGGGGTATACAGAAGATAGTCCTATTTGGTAAAAGACCAAGTCCATATTATGGCAAGAACAGCTCAAATAAGCAAAGAGAAATGACAGTCCATCATTACTTTAAGACATGAAGGTCAGTCAATACGGAACATTTCAAGAACTTTTAAACTTTCTTCAAGTGCAGTTGCAAAAACCATCAAGCGCTATGATGAAACTGGCTCTCATGAGGACCACCACATGGAAGACCCAGAGTTACCTCTGCTGCAGAGGATAGGTTTATTAGAGTTACCAGCTTCAGAAATTGCAGCCCAAATAAATGCTTCACAGAGTTCAAGTAACAGACACATCTCAACATCAACTGTTCAGAGGGGACTGTGTGAATCAGGCCTTCATGGTTGAATTTCTGCAAAGAAACCACTATTAAAGGACACCAATAAGAAGAAGAGACCTGCTTTGGCCAAGAAACACGAGCAATGGACATTAGACCGGTCGATTTTGGTCTGGAGTCCAAATTTGAGATTTTTGGTTCCAACCGCCATGTCTTTGTGAGACGCGGTGTGGGTGAACGGACGATCTCCGCATGTGTAGTTCCCACAATAAAGCATGGAGGAGGAGGTGATATGGTGTGGGGGTGCTTTGCTGGTGACACTGTGAAGGCACACTTAACCAGCATGGCTTCCACAGCATTCTGCAGCGATTTATGCCATCCCATCTGGTTTGGGCTTACTGGGACTATAATTTGTTTTTCAACAGGACAATGACCCAACACACATCCAGGCTGTGTAAGGGCTGTGTAAGTGCTGCATCAGATGACCTGGCCTCCACAATCCCCCGACCTCAACCCAATTGAGATGGTTTGGGATGAGTCGGACGGCAGAGTGAAGGAAAAGCAGCAAACAAGTGCTCAGCATATGTGGAAACTCCTTCAAGACTGTTGGAAAAGCATTCCAGGTGAAGCTGGTTGAGAGAATGCCAAGAGTGTGCAAAGCTGTCATCAAGGCAAAGGGTGGCTATTTGAAGAATCTCAAATGTCAAATATATTTTGATTTGTTTAACAAGTTTTGGGGTACTACATGATTCCATAAGTGTTATTATAGTTTTGATGTCTTCATTATTATTCTACAATGTAAAAAATAGTAAAAATAAAGAAAAATCCTTGAATAAGTAGGTGTGTCCAAACTTTTGATTCATACTGTTTATACAGAGAGTGGGATTGTATGTCACCAAAGATTATCCTTTATTTGCTTCTTAAAAAGGGTTGGGATTATACAAGAGGGGCTGCTCACAAACTTTTAAGGGGTATAGGTCTCTAACCTGAGAGTTGCCCTGCCTCTGTGTAAACCACAGGCGGCCGGTGGCACCTTAATTGGGGAGGACGGGCTCATACTAATGACTGGAACTGAATCAATGTTGTGTTTGATACCATTCACTCCATTCCATCCATTATTATGAGCCATCCTCCCCTCAGCAGCCTCCTGTGGTGGAAACATATCTGTCGCACCCCCTCTACATCCCTTCAGCGCCACAAACACAAGAACATAAAAAGGTAAAAAACAAACATTGTTCAATAGATACATGATATAAGCCAATGTCATAGGAATGTATTTTTTTAATTAATGTTGTAATATTTAAAAAAGAAATATTCTAATACATTTATGTAGAAAACTATCACAATTTGCATGATTTATTAAATATTTGGTCTTATCTTCCAACGGAATGAAGTAGCCAATTATGGATATGGCAGTGTATTAGGAGGTGATCTATCCCTCCAGGTCTGACACCAGGAAAGGGTCTGCTTCTTTCAGGGACCTGGGAAGTTGGGATGCTGCAGGGCCTGCAAGAAGTGAGAAGGTATATCAATTCATGCAGATTAATTAAGTGGAGATCATTTGTGCTCTCCTATGTGCCAGCTGCTGCGATTAAGATTATTGAGTGAGTGATATCTATTTATGTTTAATTGAACACTATTCATGTCTCATATGCGTGCAATTCTCAGTTGATTATTTTGTTTGAAATCATTTTGGATAATTGCGTATTTTATATTGCCAATCATTACCTGTAGGGAAATTGATTGATCCAGCAACAGTGTTACCAGTCACTATGGGACAAAAGGCATAGCTCCCATTCTGAGCTGAGATTGTGATGGGTTGGACAGCAGAAGATCCCCTCCCTGCACCTGCTACCCCAACATGGCCTGGACCTCCTGCTAGAGCTAGAGAAAGAGCGAGAGAGCGAGAGAGAGAAGGGGGAGGGGGGAGCGAGAGAGGAAATAGACAATAACATTTAACTGCATTTCTCCTTCATAATGGTTTACATTGTTCTGACAAAACAGAACATAAGTGCAGTATGAGAATCAGATCAAATGGATGAGCCCTTTCTATCATTAGACAGGGAATACCATAATATCTTCAAAACTGATGTATTACCTGTGTACTTATCATTTAAATCCTTGGCAAGATTGTTTTGTTTCATCACCTTCAGAATCGCCAGTGTGATCTTCACAGCACCCTTTTCCATGTAAGTTTCCACCATTCTATCCACAGTGTCCTCCCTTTCAGCACACTCCAACCGGGCCTTTGGGATAGAGCAGCAGTCATCCAACACACCACCATTTATCAGGTGCCACTGAAATTCCTTCAGATCAGATTTGCCCAGATTCTTCAGCGTTTCCAGCAGCAGACCCGGTACCGAACGAGACGCCATTGTAGGTCAATCACTAGACACAGAATATTAGAATAGGTGAGAAAAACGTGTGTAATTATTCCTGTATTCCAGACAGTGTGGTATAAATAGGGACTATTGTAACTACTCAGTGTTACACTGTACTTACACTGTAGGCCTTTGTAAAGGAGGGTTAAGGTTAGGGTTAGAGTTCGTGCTGAGGTTAGGATTAGGGTTAATCTTATAAATACATTGTAATTTATTGCGGAAAAGGGAAATGATCAATGAATACAGATGGGGATACAGCATATACAGTTTGAGACACTTATCATGCAGGGAAAAAAAATGGATTATAGACTATTCATAACGAATTCATATCGCACTCTAAGCAACACCGACCAAACCTTTTAAGAATATCCCAAACATTCCTTGACGTCCTCTCTCGGCATGTTTAGGCAACCTTTATCTTTCTGAAATGGTAGTCTTCCCATCAAAAGTTACAAACTTGTCTATACCATTCAGAAGACTACTTTCACTTTCGCTTATCACTTCTAGAAAACAGGCACTTGCAAAGATGGTGCTCTACTTACCTTCCAAAGTGGCCTTTTGTGTCCCCCAAAAAGTGTTTTAATATATAAAAAACATATATATATATACAATTAATTGTTGTTCGGAACCCACTTCCCGCCGCAAATCGTCGTGACGTCGTCAATTTCACAACCACGTCAGTCGGTTGCCTCTGTTTATTTGCTCTTCAGGCTACAGAGCTCGCGCACGCCCAGTTGCGCCTTTTCCCCCTGTGGAAAACCAAAAGGTTCAAATCGTCCTTCCCTGAACACGTCTTAAACTTGTAATGATCATTTTTCACTTGCTTTTTTCAAGTTTTAAATGTCATTTTCTTTAGTCTTAACACTTGTAATTATCATTTTTCACTTACTTTTTTCAATTGCTTTTTTCAAGTGTCAAATGTCATTTTCTTTACATGTGTTTTTTTTTCAATTGACCATTGTGCGTTTACAGGTGATTTGAACGCTTGTAATGATCATTTTTCATTTGCTTTTTTCAAGTGTCAAATATCATTTTTTGTACACCTGATTTTTTCACCTGTCCAGTGTGCGTTTACATGTGATTTGAACACTTGTTATGATCATTTTTCCGGTGCTTTTTTCAAGTGTCAAAAGTCATTTTTACACATGTTCTTTACACCTGTCCAGCGCGCATTTACAGGTGATTATAACGCTTGTTATGGTCATTTTTATATGTGTTCATTACACCTGTCTAGTGTGCATTTACAGGTGATTAGAACGCTTGTTATGGTCATTTTTACACGTGTTCATTACAACTGTTCAGTGTGCATTTACAGGTGATTAGAACGCTTACACCTGTCCAAATCAAATCAAATATATTTGTCACATGTGCCGAATACAACAGAGGTAGACCTTACAGTGAAATGCTTACTTACAAGCCCTTAACCAATGCAGTTTGAAGAAAGAATACCAAAAAAAAAGAAGAAATAAAAGTAACAAATAATTAAAGAGCAGCAGTAAAATAACAATAGCAAGACTATATACAGGGGGTACCGGTACCAAGTCAATGTGCGGGGACACCGGTTAGTCAAGGTTATTGAGGAAATATGTACATGTAGGTAGAGTTATTAAAGTGACTATGCATGGATAATAAACAGAGAGTAGCAGCAGCGTAAAAGAGGGGGGGGGGGGGGGGGGGGCAATGCAAATAGTAGTAATTTGATTAGATGTTCAGGAGTCTTATGGCTTGGGGTAGAAGCTGTTTAGAAGCCTCTTGGACCTAGACTTGGCGCTCCGGTACCGCTTTCCGTGTAGCAGCAGAGAACAGTCTATGACTAGGGTGGCTGGAGTCTTTGACAATTTTTAGGGCCTTTCTCTGACACTCTGACACAGCCTGGTATAGAGGTCCTGGATGGCAGGAAGCTTGGCCCCAGTGATGTACTGGGCTGTACGCACTACCCTCTGTAGTGGCTTGCGGTCGGAGGCCGAGCAGTTGCCATACCAGGCAGTGATGCAACCAGTCAGGATGGTCTCGATGGAGCAGCTGTATAACCTTTTGAAAACCTTTCCAGTGTGCATTTACAGGTGATTAGAACGCTTGTTATGGTCATTTTTACACGTGTTCATTACACCTGTCCAGTATGCATTTACAGGTGATAATAACGCTTGTTATGGTCATTTTTACACGTGTTCATTACAACTGTTCAGTGTGCATTTACAGGTGATTAGAATGCTTGTTATGGTCATTTTTACATGTGTTCATTACAACTGTTCAGTGTGCATTTACAGGTGATTAGAACGCTTGTTATGGTCATTTTTACACGTGTTCATACACCTTTCCAGTGTGCATTTACAGGTGATGTTAACGCTCTAACCCAGAGACTCTGTCTAGAGTATCGCTCAAGAGACTGGGTGGGCCATCCCCCGGGGACGGGGGCCAAGGTCACCAGGGGGCGTCACTACATCCAGCCAGCTCCCTTCACCAGGGATATGGGAAGGGGGAGAGGAGAGGACAGGGCTGAGGTCAACCAAGGGAAGGGGGGGGCAGTCCCCCATAGAGGGGGGCCGACCCCCACCCACGGCAACTACAAGGCGCCAATACATCCATCCAGCTCCCTGCCCCAGGGATATGGTGGGAGAGTGCCAGAGGGGGCTGAGGCCGACCCAGTGATAGCGAAGTTTATACATTGATAACTGCGTGTTCAGAGTTATTGAATGCATGGAGAGAACTGCCCCCTAATACAAGGGACATTTATTCTAGAACTGTTCACTAGACCAAATAAATAATTAAAACACCCTAATAACATATAACACAAATAGAATAAGACACTTCCTTGACCAATTAGATCATGAACCTATATGACATAACTAAGGCTTTTGATTAATAATCCTTGATTTTTGTAATTTCTTATGTCCATAGTTGGGAAGTTACCTACTGAGATGATTTATACTGTCTCTGTTGCCTATGCATCCAGCCAAACAGTCTACAGTTGTTGCTTTGTGTCTTCCAATATCTGGAAATGTTGTTCCAAAACCAGACAGCAGAGGGATTTACTTGCTTGTATCTACAAATGTTTGCACACTCTGGTAGGTATACACTGGAGTTATGTACACTTCTTACAAGGAAATAGTTATAGCCTGAGGCACCTGTGGTTGATTATGGGATATGGTGTTAAAACTCACTTTCTTCCGGAAATGCATGTGTCTATAGACTATTTCAAAAGTGGTTTGAGATTTGATTATCATAGCTGTTTTTGATTAAATATTGAAGGAATCAAGTAACTTGTTAGTTGTTGTACAAATAGCTTTAATTAATTATTTCTTGAAATAGATATAAGACTAGGGACTATTTCATACTTGTGGAAGGGTTGGTGTGAGGTGTGACCCGGTGTGGTGCAGGATAGACAGTAGGCATTAGGCAGAGATGGTGAAACAAGGATCTTTACTGGTGGTCCCAAAACCAGGATACAAAATAACGGACTTAATAAATAAAGGAGGAGCAAATTGGTCTCCAAAAAACAGGCTGACAGCAAACATACGAAATGCTAACTACGACTGAAAACAACAATGAAACAGGGAGAACACTTCTCAAGTACAAGTACATACATCTCACGATCAGACACTGATTAGTACTGTTTGGCATCGAGAACTAGCAGAGAAAACAGAGCAAGGGAACACAGGGAAGTGAGGGCATAAATACACAGGTGAACAGGTAGACACAGGTTACACCAATAGGATACTGATTAGTCCAGACTGTGAGTGAGGAGGTGCCTAAGGTTGTCGGAGGATGACACCTAGTGGGTCGCTCCGGAACTGTGACCCCCTCCTGTAACAACTTGTTGATATCTTTCACTTAGTGTGTAAAATAAAAAATGTGTTCAGAGCTAAACATGTGTTGCCAGAGTGAATAATATGTGAATGCTTGTCCAAATAGAAAAAAAATGCTCTAAGGAACATTACCTATCGTCTAAGCATTATGTCCTGGCCGCCAGCCCTTACACCACATGAATAAATAATACACACTGAGTGTAAAAAACCTTAAGGACACCTTCCTAATATTTTGTTGCTGTATGAGCAACAGCTAATGGTCTTTAAATAAACTGAACTATATTAATGTATACCTTATAACCACTTTTATTTCCATATTTATGATTTTAAATGTTGTCTTGTTCAAAATATTTGCTTTGCATTTGCAGAATACACATCGAAGACTTAATGATTCCTATAGGTTAGATGCATAATAATAACAATACAAAAAAAAAGAATACAGTTCCCCGTTACCTATTGCTAATTATGCATTTAAAGGTGGAATATGCAGAAATCGCTCAGCCATTTCATGGTTGAAAAATTATAATACTTCACCTGATTTCAGTTTATGTGACAAAACAACCAGTTTTTGCATAGAGAATAATTGTACTATCTAAACCTGTGTAATATATTTTCCATAGCCAAAATTATTGTATTTTCAGGTGTTGGAAGCTGGTGTACAAAAAACGATGCAAAAACGAAACTTAAGAACTGGAAGAACACAAATGTGAATTTGGTCGGGTCGCCCAAAAAGTTACATACTGCAGCTTTAATTGTGGGCTGGGGTGGTCCAGTGGTGTAGCATCATAGTCTACAGTGCACACATAGGCCCCAGCCCTCTTCCCTCAAGCAACTACAGCATTTTGTAGGGTTTGCTCATTTTTATAGGCAATTTATTCACAATTTTAGCTCCCTAGCTGCTCCCCTGACAGCCCTCACCCAGACGAGTGTGCACTCCTTCACCTGGACCCTGGAAGCGAGGAACGCATTTGATGTGCCTAAGCGGCGCTTTACATCGGCCCCGGTCCTAGGGCATCCTAATCCTGTCCCAGTGGTTCTTCACGGACAGTAAGACTCACCCCTGCGCGTTTTTTTCCTGTCGCCGTGAAATTTCGACGTGGGGAACCGTGAGTTGCTAGCGGTCAAGCTCACCCTGGGGGAGTGGAGGTATTGGCTTGAGGGGGCCACCCATCCATTCGTCATATGGACGGACCATAAGAACTTAGCCTACATTCAGGGGGCCAAGAGGCTCAACTCGCGCCAGGCCAGGTGGGCGTTTCTTCACCAGGTTCCGGTTCACCATCTCATACCGTCCGGGGTCGAAGAACACCAAGTCTGACGCGCTCTCCCGGCAGTTCGACCCCGTGGACCTGGTGGAGAGGGACGACCCCATTGTCCTGCGTAGGAGGTTCTGGTGGCCATCGGCTGAGGGGGATATGCACGCCTTCGTGGCTGCTTGCCCGGTGTGCGCGCGCACGAAGAGCTCACGTCAACCTATCCCCAAGTGTCCCTGGTCCCACATCTCGCTGGATTTCATTTCCATCCCTACACCCCTCTGATGGATACACAGTCATCCTGGTCGTTGTGGACCAGTTCTCGAAGGCTGCCCACTTCATTCCCCTTCCCAAACTCCCCTCGGCCTGGGAGACGGCTAAGTTGGTGGTGCAGCACGTTTTCCGGGTCCACGGCCTTCCCCAAGATGTGGTGTCAGATCTGGGCCCTCAGTTCGCCTCCAGGTTCTGGAAGGCGTTCGCCACCTGCCTTGGCGCCTCCGTCAGCTTGTCTTTGGGCTTCCATCCCTAGTCGAACGGGCAGACGGAGCGAGTCAACCAGGATCTGGAGGGGGTGCTGAGGTGCTACGCCTCCAGCAACCCAGCTACGTGGAGTCAGCGACTGGCGTGGGCGGAGTACGCCCACAAC